ATTCGTATAAATGCTGATCTGACAATCTCTGTTCGCCTGTTTATTTCTACAGTATGATCATTGGTTTCATTGATCAAAGTTACCAAATAATGATATTTTCTACTCGTTCTATCACGTTACCATTGATTTTCAATAGGTGATGTATATTTTCTCGTCTTTTTGTAATTAGCATGTACTTTTCATACTCAAGCTTTCGATAAGATGTTGTAGATCTATCCTCGTTGCTATGATCACAGTGTAGTCTACATATCTTAAGTTGTTAATTAATTTTCTGTTAACGGTGACTCCAGCTTCGATACTATTGAGCGTGTTTTGGAAAATTTCTTCAGAATATAAGTTAAACAAAAGTGGTGATAAAACACATCCCTGTCTAACTCCTCTACATATTTTCATTTCTTCTGAGTGTTGCCCATCAATTTGAACTATGGCACTTTGGTTCCAATATAATGTTTGCACTATATTTATGATTTTACTGTCAATGCGCTTGTTCATAAATATCAAAGAAGAGTAGAGAATACATACCATGGAAGAATCCTTAGGAAAACATCTAACCATATATCTCGACAAGCTAGAAACTTTTTAAGTTTAATGAATTATGCACGTGATATTTCAATATGTGTCTTGATTTCTTTGGTTCGGTCTACATTTGACATTATCTATGCTCCCAAATATTTGTAGTTAACCACGCTCTTAATTACAGTATCTTCAATAATCAATTAGATATTTATAACTGCTGATTTAGTCATGATCATACATTTAGTTTACTTCAAAATTCACCTTTAGCCCATATTTCCTTTATAACCTTTAGGTATAAAGGTATTCCATCTAATTTTACAATTACTTGTTTTATACCTGATTTGTCTAAATTTATATTTTTGTTTTTTTTTCTACTTGCCTTGTTTGATTTTATGTCTACTTTGCTAATGTGTTACATTCTATAATAGTTTTACCTGATTAAACTTTTAAGAAATCAAATAGATTAAAACAAGGTAATTAAATTTACTGGTTTTTACGAGTAAAAACTCGTAAAAAAATATGTGCTGGACACAACCAGCACATATTAGTATAAACGGCATTCAAATTGAAAAAGTATCAAGTTGCAAATACTTGGGGACTTCAATAAACGAAACTGGAGACCAAAACAATGAAATAAAAAGACGTATCGAAATTGCCATGGCCACCTTCATAAAGATGAGGAAATTCTTCTGCAACAGAGATATAAGCATCCCTCTACGATTAAGAATGCTAGGATGCTACGTATTAAATATGCTATTATACGGTGTAAAGGCCTGGATTCTCAACATAACAAGATAAAAATTATAGAAATTTTTGAGATGTGGTGCTACCGTCGAATACTGAACATAAGTTGGGTTGAAAGAGTCACAAACTTTGAAGTTATAAGAAGGATAGGAAAATACCCAGAAATTTTGTCAACGATCAAATGAATAAAACTTGAATATTTGGGTCACCTGATTAGAGGACATAAATACGCATTACTTCAAAATATAATGCAAGACAAAATAGAAGGAAAACGGAATCCAGGCCGTAGAAGAATGTCATGGTTGCGTAATTTGAGAGAGTGGTTTGGATGTAGCACTAATGAACTCTTTAGGTCAGCTGTAAGCAAGGTCAGGATAGCCTTGATGAGAATATAGATAGCCTTGATAGCCTATTTATTAGAGAAGCTGATTTCGCACAAAAATAAAGTCAAATATAATAAAAGAGACATAGTTTAACAATAACAATGGATGACTGGGACCAATACTTTGAGAAACCCCTAAGGGAAGATAGATCACAATTTAAAGACAGCAACGAAACACAAAATATAAATATTTAACTTCGCCCATACGAATAACAATAAAAGAAGTGGAAGATGTATGTAGATCTCTAAAAAATAACAAAGCACCGGGTCCAGTTAGCATCCCTGCAAAGTTAATTAAACACGGTACAACCAAACTATATACAAGTTTAGCCAAACTGTTCCAAAACTGAATTAATGGAATGACCACCTCAGAGGACTGGAAGACATAATTCATATCCACTATACACAAAAAAGGCAGAAGGGATGAATGTGACAGTTACAGAGGCATTGCCGTGACAAACTCGGTCAGTAGAATATACGGAAAAGTAATTAAAAACAGAATAGAAAGCAAATATAAAGACTTAGAGGCTGAGGAACAGGCAGGATTTAGGGCAGATAGATCTACTGGACTATTTGTTTTGCGTTACGCAGATTATTGAAAAGAAAATAGCCGTTAGGTTAGGTTAGGTAAAGGTAAAGGTTGGAAATAATCTGTCGAGTGGATTCCAAATGAATAAAGGCCTTAAAGCAGGGCTGCTATCTCTCCCCGATATTATTTATAATTTATCTAGGACAAGTTCGAAAACTGTGGAAGCGCAAATGGAGAAATATGGGAATGGCGATTAACAACAATAGCATATACACTTTGTCATTTGCAGATGATCAACTAGTGATAGCACAAGATTATGAAGATAGTGAGTATATGACTCGAAAATGAATCGAGGAGTAAAAAATAGGGACTTAAAATCAATATCCAAAAAAACGAGTATATGTGTACTGGCGGGAAAAAACAGGACCTCATATTGAAAGATGGAGAAGTGTTATCAAACATTGGAACTGAAAAAGTTTTGAACGTAGTTATGAGGTTCGAATCGTTTTATAATGTCCCTGTGTCCGCTTCTTGTCGATCGACGATGATAAATATAATAAAAAGCTGAAGTTGTGGAGTAAAAGTGCTGGTTTCATTGACAGCTACTAGTAATTACACAATATGATGTTGGTTAGGTAACTACTTATAATAAACTGTGCTCACATGAGCTCAAATCCACAATTTATAATCTCACAAATAATTCGTACCTCAGCACAGTTATTGCTTCTATCATACCATACCAACAAACTTTGAACTATTACTTTACTCGGCAATTTATTTAGTTGTATGTAAATGAACTAATTATTAAAATATTATACGATATGGTTTACAGTGTCTCACTTATACACGGTGAAACGTAGACGACACAATTGAGGAGAAAAACAACCAAACAAAAAAAGCAATTTCCCTTCTCAATAGTATCCTTTGGGATCAATCAATCTCTAATAATAACAAACACACGATATATGTATAATACAATCATTAAAAGTATAATTACCTACAGTAGTGAAGTATGGCAAATAAAGGAAAGAACAAGAGAAAACTTGAGGCAACGGAAATAGATTTCTGAAGACGTTCAGCTGAAAAATCTAGACTAGAAAAAGTAACGAACAACAGAATAAGAGAAATTATGAAAGTAAAATATATTGTTACGTAAAAAAATATGAGTCATATTAAAAACCTGTACACATGTTGTTATTCATTTTTATGTTCTAGATTTTATTAGCTGGTAGAAATCTACCTGAAACGGTCGCTCCCCTACGATTCGAAGTTTCCAGAAACCGGTCGAATGAAGACCAGGCCGATTTACTTTCTAGTCGAGTCAGAGGGAATCGCCTGAACTCTCGAATAACTGTATTGGGTATATAACGGGACCTTTTTGCAGAAAACACCAGTAAGAAGATAAATTCGCGACGGGTATTTAAATGTAACGCACGTATAAATCAATTATGTAATTATTATTCGAAAATAAATTGTTGTATAGTGGTTAAATAAATTGATATAAATTATCGTGTTTTAGTTAATTAAAATAAGAACAATAAATTAGAATTAATAAAGACTTAACAATATAATAGTAGACGATATTGGTACTAAACAACTCAGATGGTACGGTCATGTACAGAGAATATCGGAAGAACGTTTCCCAAAACAAGTCTTATTGTGGACCCCTCACGGTAAAAAAAAAAGAGGAAGACCCTGCCTTAGTTTGAGAGAAGGTATCAATAAAGAAATGAAAGACAGGGACGTAGAAAAATACTTATGGATGAATCGATAGGAGTGGCAAATGAGTATCGGAAAACGTAGGAGAACGTTTTAAACCGATCTATATACAGTGTAGGTAAAATTTTAAGGTCGGTATGGTAAAATTTAACAGTATATCTAACGCAGATATAAAATCATATTTTCAGCGAATTAGACAAAGATAACAATCATATTTCCCCTTCGTCTCCCCTCCTAAAATTCTTTTAACACTCATTGGCCATTGCCCATTAGTGAGACGATTAGTTCCGATCAGATATTCTCTGGTTCCGATCCTAATATACCTAAAAAACTAGAGGTGGGTCCTCTCGTTTTTTTAATTTTTATCGGAACCGTTTTTCGTAAACTGTAACTAGTTGACTGTTTACCAGTATTCAAATTAGCGAGTACACAAACATATCGATACATTTTTGGCAAAGTAACGTAAGTCACCAAAAACGATTTGTAGAAAAAACAATTTTTTAATTCAACCTGCTTCAGGTTGAATTAAAAACTACTCTTTCAGTACCTTTTTAACAGTAATAGCATTAGTTTAATTGAAAAACATTATTTTCGCCAAAAATGTCACTTACGTTACTTTGCCAAAAATGTATCGATATTTTCTATTATCGTTTATGTGTATAAGTATTGAAATAAAAGAACCTAACGAAGGATATATTTATTGTAACTTGAAAAATAAATTAAATAATACAAATGGTACTTAAATACTTACATTTACATTACACATTATTAAATCGCGAATCGTCTAAATTGACATTTAAAAACATAAGTTTTTCCACCTTTCTTGTTAATCGCGTTCTTCTTTTATTTAAAATTATACCAGATGTTAAACATGTGTTCACAAGGAAAAGATTTTGTTACAATACTACAACATTTTATGAATATAGTGGTTAAGTTACCATATACATGGCGATGGTTTTTTCACCACGGTAATGGACAGTTCCAATCTCCGTTCGAAATTGTTTGTGGCTAATATCTCATCAGACAATTACATGTCGACTTCTTTTATACCTCTCGATACAGGTATATGTTTAGATGAGTCATGTCCAATTATTTCATCAAAAATACACCATGGACTTAAGTCATCTTTATCAGTTTCTTTTTCTTGGACTAATTGATTTTCAAGATTTACTAAACTTTTCGTTTCATCCGTTTTCCATAGTTAAAGAACCAGCTTTTAAAAAGTTTGCAGGGTGGATTCCTGGATATAAACCGCCAACAAGAAAAACTTTGTCAGGTTCATTACTTCAGGAATGTTATGTCAAAAGTGAGCAAATTATTAGATCACAAGTTGTTAAGGAAGTAGAAAATATCTGTATTACTACTGACCTCTGGACATCTGGAGTAACTGAGAGTTACTTCGCATTAACAGGACAATATTTAACCGAAAATTTAGTATTCAAAACTTTTTTATTAGGCTGCTGCCTAATTTTTAAATACCGTAAGTATGCCGTTTGCTAAATTTTAGCAAACGGCATACTTACATCCATAGTATCCGACATAGTACAATTACTAATATCGGGTTTAGCAAAAAGATTTAGAGGGATAGAACAGAGTGGCACATTGTCATTATGTACATTTATGGATTCACGATTTACAGTGCAGAACAAAACAAAAAGTTAAGAAGCTGGTTACTTCTATAATTAACGAACAAGAAGATTGTACTATTGAAAATCAACCAGTACAAGAAAAAGAAACCAATAAATATGACTTAAGTCCATGGTGTATTTTTGATCAATTAATTGGAGATGACTCATCTACACGTACACCTGCATCGAGAGTCCATTACAAGAAAAACTTGTTTTTATGTCAATTTAGACTATTCGCGATTTAATAATAACGTGTAATGTAAATGTAAGTCCGATTTACTATTTGTATTGTTTAGTTTATTTTTCAAGTTATAATAAATATATCATTAGGTAGTTTCTTTCACTTCAAAAGATAAACACATAAACGATAATAGCCGTTATGTTTGTTTATGTAGGTACTCTCTTACTTGAAACTACTTTTAAACAATCATAGTTACTTGTTTATGAAAATTAAAATGCTTAAATGCTTTTTAGCATTTAAAAAAATTTAAATTTTTTTGGAATCCTGAGAAAACTAACAAATATTTTTGAAAAATTTAAATGCAGAATGAAAGATTACATTATTACCGAGGGCCGAAAGTCCCTTAGAATAAACAAAAAGTTTTTTTAATGAGATATTTAAAATTAAAAATCACACTAAATTTTGTTTTTTTTTTTCATCCCTATAACTTATTAAAATAAACATTATAGAAGTTTTCAGGGACTTTCGGCTCTCGGTAATAATGTATTGTTTCATTCTGCGTTTAAATTTTTCAAAAATATTTATTAGTTTTCTCAGGATTCGAAAAAAATGAATGCTTTTAAAAAACATTGGCCCGAAATTTTGCTCCTACGCAATTAACGATAAACTAGCACGACCCACCTCTACTTCTCGTTACTCGATCTTTTGACCAGACAACTATCTAGACTAGACGTTGCCAAAGAATTAGTGTATGAATATTTTTTAATGTGGCGTTATTGTATGCATGTTTAATTGTTTATTATTTCATATTGGGAAATTATTTTGATGTTTAGATTTTTAGTTCGGAAATCGTACTTAAAATACGAAACATTAATAAATTTTATTTATATAAAACGATTTCCGAAATGGAAATCAAAATGTTATATTACAATTATTGTAAAGAAAGTTTGTGGCATATTCCCAATAAAAAAACAGTAACCTGCCATTTAAATCAATTTCGCCCAAATTTGATTATCTTGAGCATTTTATCTTCTTGATAGAACATTGTTCAAATGCAAAAAAGACAACAGGTCAAATAAAACCGATAAGTTTGGCAACGTTGAACTTCCCCTTTTTTATTATTTCTAGGCATGAAGGTTCGGTGATATAAAGGGCGTACCTAATATACCTCTCTCTTTTTAAACAGCTGTTTCTCACTCCATCTCACGTAAGGTCCATACCGACCATAAAATTTTTCCTACACTGTATATAGAATTACTTTAACTACAGTATAATTAATGCGCATGTCCCGACAGAAGAAAAAGAAGAGGAAATTAAAGAAGAGTTTTATGATAAATTAGAGTCCGCATATCTGTTATGCCCAAAAAATGATATAAAAATAATCTATGGAGACCTAAACGCCAAAGTTGGAAGAGAACAGCAATTCCAACCCACAATAGGTAGGTACAGTCTCCATAAGCAATCAAATGACAATGGCAATAGGTTAATAAACCAAGCAAGATCACTTAACATGGTGATTGCCAGCACTTACTTCGCTCGCAAAGATATACACAAAGGTACCTGGAAATCCCCAGATGGGCTTACAGTAAATATGATAGATCATGTCATTGTAGACTCGAGACACCAATCGAATATAATAAACGTCCGCACCAGAAGAGGGGCAAATTCGGATTCTGATTAGTACCTGGTCGAAAGTAGAGTAAGGGCTAGAATTTCAAACATCAAAAAGGAAAGAGGCTCTAAACATGAACGATACAAGGTAGAAGGACTCAAAGAAACAAACAAAAATAAAGAGTATAAAGAAAAATTAAACAACAAACTAGAAAACAAACACATGAAAACCTAAATGAGGAGTGGGAGAATGCAGATACATCATAAAAGGCAGCTAAAGAAGTATCAGGCATAGAAGGCAGAAAAAGAAGAACAAGAACGAATGACTGGTTTGATGAAGAAAGTCAGATTATAACAGACAGAAAAAACAGAGCATATTTAGTTATGTACAGAACCCGACAAGCAGAGGAAGAATATAAACAACTACGCAAAGAAGAAAAGAAAACTCACCGAAGAAAAAAGAGAGAATATATGAACAAAGAACTTCAAGAACTACAAGAACTAAGTAAATTAACAAAGACAAGAAAATTTTATCAGAAACTGATCAAAAGCAGAAAAGCCTTCAAACCGAGAACAACAATGTGTAGAGATAAGGAAGGTAATATATTGATAGAACAGCAGGAGATACTAGGTAGATGGACAGAACATTTTACGGAAAAGTTGGAAGGAGATCGGAGAGAGACGAACCCTGACATACAATTAGACCAAGCAGACAACAGAGAAAAGATTCCACCAACAATAGCCGAGATTAGAACAGCAGTAGACAAATTAAAGAACAATAAAGCACCAGGATAGGATCAAATAGCTTCGGAGTTACTGAAGAAAGGAGGAGAGGCACTACAAAAAACAATACATGAATTGATAACCAAGATATGGTCTAACAAACAGCTCCCAGCGGAGTGGAATAGCGGTATTATTGTACCATTATATAAAAAAGAAAATCAGTTAGAATGTGGAAACTACCGTGGAATCACGCTGCTGAATGCAGCATACAAAATAATGTCATTTATGAAAGACTTACACCACACGATGAAAAAATAGTTGGCAAATACCAAAGTGGCTTCTGTAGACAGAAGTCAACAATAGACCAGATATTTGTTCTGCGACAGATCCTCGAAAAAACAAGTGAATATAACATCGACACACATCATCTCTTGATAGACTTTGAACGCGCATATGACAATATAAACCAAGAATTCTGAATAAAAGCAATGAAAGAATTTAATATACCAACACAACTAATAGAACTGATAAAAGAATCTCTAAAAGTAGAAAGTAAAATCCGGATACAAAATGAATTAACGGAAACAATAGATGTGAAAAAGGGACTACGCCAGGGAGACGCTCTATCATGCATCTTCAACATCGTACTCGAGAAAATACTGAGGGACACAACAGTCAATACTCGAGGAGCAATCATTATTAAAGCGTGCAAATACTAGCATTTGCAGATGATGTTGATATAATCGCAAGATCAAGAAGAGAAATAATAGAGGCATACAACCAAATAGAATGAGCTGCACAAAATAGTGGTCTTAAAATCAATCAGACCGAAACAAAATATATGCAGGTAAGTAAAAACGCAGAAATAAGGCAGACACAAAATAGGAGAATACAACATAGAGGGGGTAAAAAACTTTATATACTTGGGATCCCTAGTCGTAGTCACGTCTGATAATAACGTTGCGGAGGAAGTGAAGAGGCGAATATTTATTGCCAGTAAATGTTACCATGGCTTAATTAGGCAACTAAGATCAGATAACGTCGCAAGAAAAAACAACATGCCAAATATACAAAACCTAAATAAGACCGGTACTCACATGCGGCTCAGAAACCTGGACACTCACTAAAACAGAGGAAACGTTGTTAGCCACCTTCGAAAGAAAAATCTTGCGACACATATATAAGGGCACAAAAGAAAACCGAATTTGACGAAGAAGATACAACTTTGAACTGTATAAAATATACCAGGATCGGGATATTATAACATTTATTAAAATAGGACGGCTGCGTTGGATAAGACATGTAAAAAGAATGGAAGAAGGCGAAATACCAAACAAAATATTACACCAGATGCCAGTAGGAAAAAGAACAAGAGGAAGACCGAAGCTGAGATACTTATAACAAATAGAAAATGATATAACAACCTTAAAAAAGACCCAAAAAGGGTTGTCGAGACAGTGATGATGATGATATATGGAATAAAGGAGACAGATGGACAAAGTGATAGACAGAGAAACACACACGTAACATTACCCTAAGAAGGACCTATCAGGTCCTTAACAATTTTTAACTTGGTAATCTATAAGATATATTTTATTTTTAGAATTTTACCAGACTGACGATTGTAATGTTTAAGCCTTCAAGGCCTCTTGAGCTAAATAAATACATAAATCCGACGTTGTATTAGAATACAAAATCTTATATACTTTATTGTACATTTTATATATTCTGTAAATATATTTCTGAATTATTAAATTACCTCATTTGGCACAAGTAAGCTATAACATGTGCAAGTCAGACACTGTTCAAAATAATACATTTGTTAATAGATTCATTACGATTATTTACACAGAACGTGTGTGTTGGAAGGTAACCTGAATTATTATTTATTATGAAAGTGCTAATTGCAAGCTTACGATCATTGATGGATAGAAGAAAAATATGTTGACTCTCTTAAAAATGTAGTTTTAAATTTTAACACTTTGCAGCTTCTTTAATTTTACTTTACATGGAATAACATATTGCTTGTTGTGTATTTTAGTTATCAAGCAGTTCCAACTTCTAAACAATTCTAAAATTTTTCAAAAAAATGTATCCAAATAATAGTATCTGTACTTACATATGGAGCTCAAACTTTCACATTCTCTAAAATAAACATGGAGAAGATCAGAAAAACTCAGAGAGCTATGGAACGACAGATGCTGGGTATCTCACTCAAAGACCATAAAACCAATAAAGACATTCGTAACAGAACAAAATTAAAAGATGCTGTCGAACAAGCAGCTAAACTGAAATGGAAATTGGCTGGACAGTACGAACGTCCTACGGATGGCCGATGAAATAAAGAAATCGGGAATTGGCAGCCATATGAAACGAAAACTCGACGAGGAAGACCGCAAATGCGATGAGGCGACGATATCAAAAGAACTGCAGGGCCAATGTGGAAACGTCTTACAAACAACAGAAACGAATGGCGAGAATTAGGAGACTAACTGTGGGATTATCGTTAACCGTTAACCCTAGATTAGCAGACTTGTTTAGCCGCACGTGATTACCGGACTATCGTAAATGTTACTACCTATAAAAAATGCCTTGTAATTACAAAACTTATATTCAAAATCTGAACAGGAGAGTTTTTATCACTATAATAACATATTTTAAACCAATAAAAAATAGCATTGGTTAATGTTTTAAACACTCGGAGCAAATTTTTCCACGATGCTCACCACATATCGCATGCTTGCATACTTGGCAATATGTAGTTGCCATTCGCCGTTTTTGCTTGGTCAATAAAAGCAAATTTTTCTTTTTCTTTCTTGATATGTGGGAACTGCTTCTGCACCAGTTATCTTTAAAATGTGAGCTATATCGTGACGAATGTTTTGACGCAAAGTAGCGGTTGCGAATCATTGTCTCATCCATGGTTCGGCAAAAGACTGGCTCAAATCAACCACATACTGGTACCGAGAGACGGGCTCTTTACCTCGTTTTAATGTGTTGTATAAACTATATTAACCGTATCATAAAATATACACAACGGGCATCTTCGGGTTTTCCTGTTACAGCTCATGTTGGAACACATTTGTTCAAAAGTATCTACGCCTGATTTTGTGTTATTGTAATTTTTTATAATTACAGGCTTGCCTGTTTCTTCTGATACTTCTGCCGTTTCGTGCAAAGTTGAAAGCAGTAAAACTAATTTCTATTTTTTAGGGACGTAAGATAACAAAGTTTTCTTCTGATCAAAATAGAACACCGAAGAGTTTGCATTTCGATTTTTTAGTGGAAACATCTCTGTGGAAATTTCTTTTTTGTTTTTGCGAAGAGTACCTAACGCTATTCATTTATGTGACTCTTGTGTAACAGTTCATCGACTAGTTTCACTGACGTAAACCTGTTGTCCATGGTTACGTTCCGATTTGATCCAAGGACAGATTTTGTTAGTTCTTTGACATAATGCTCTGCTAGTGGCAAACCATTGGTATTAGTTTTCTTTCCCAAATAGGGACTTGCATCCAACATATATTTACTGGAGGAGTCACATAACATAACAATCTTAATCCCGTACTTTAAAGGTTTATTGGAGATGTACATCCTGAAAGGACATCTTCCCCGGAATCCTAGCAGTTGCTCATCAATTGTACGATATGATGATGGAGTGTATGAAGTGCGGCATATTTCAATGAAAATATCCCATATTTCTCGAATATGAGCGAAAGTATCATTAATTTACTTGTCTCTCTTGCCTTGTTTTTAAATGGTACAACTGCACACGACACTATCTACCTAACGACTAAAATAGAAGATAACGAGCGGCCCAAGGCCGAGCGGTGACCGTAAGTAGCCAGATATGCTTAAAGAAATATGCGGATCGTAAAATTTACGAATTTCCGGTAATCTAGGGTTAAATGTTCTAAGAGAACCCTTAATTTCTTAGCAACATTTTCTCCATAAACCGTAATATCCTTTTCATGCCCATCTGCTTTTGACCGGTTTAACTTCTCATTAATTGTAATTAAAAGATCATCTCTAGGATTTGATTTTCGCCCACGTTGCCTGCAACCAGATGGCGTTTTACTATAAGTGGAAGTATCTGCTGATAGTACGGAAGGACCAGATATTTGGAAGTCTGTATTTTCTTCACCTAACGCTGAGAGTACTGACTCAGTGTGACTGCTTTCGTGATCAGATATCTAAAAATTTAGGTTATATTTTGTCATATTTTTGCAAAGGTTCTGAATATATTTTGTTCTAGTTTCCAAAAACTAAAAGTGAATAGGAAGCGTATTGCAAATAATTTCGAGGAAAAATTGAACTTTCCTCAATGTTTGGATGCCATTGACTAAAAGCATGCTCAGATAGTTCCACTACCTAATTCAGGCTCCTATTTTTATTATTATAAAGAATTTCATAGTTTGGTGCTTATGACTGTAGCAAATGCCAATTATTATATTATCTACTTTAATTTTGCGACAAATGGAGGAATTTCCGATGAGAGGGGGATAAATAACACAAAATCTTATGAAAAACTGAAGTCTGGAACTCCGTAAACCAGCAAAGTTACCAAACAGTGAACTGGCTCTACCTTACATATTTGTCGGGGATGATGCTTTTTAGTTAGGGGAAAACTTGTTAAAACCATTTCCTCAGAGAAATTTATGCAGGCAAAGAGATATTTTCAACGACAGCCTGTCACGAGCGCGTTGAATAATTAAAAACATTTTTGGAATTCTGGCTGCTAGGTTTCGAATATTTCATACAGCAATTAATGTTAATTTAGGTGCAATTGAGACGAAATTGATGGCGTGTTGCATCTTATACAATCTGTTGAGAATAAAATGTCCGCAAGTATATACTACTACTGAGCAGTTAGATCATAAGCATCAAGAATCTGGAACAGTTACAGTAGGTCTTCGAGCTACCTCAAATGATTTTATCGATCTACAACAAAGTTCGCGCAACAGAAGTTTTTAACAGATTGGAAAGGTCACAAGAAACAATTTTATGGTGTATTTTATCAATGAAGGAGCTGTAATCTGGCAAAATAAAGCTATATGAATATATTTTTTTTATTTACTTACCTCTTCCTCATCAAACACATTAGAGTGTTCTTGGTAAATCTTGATCGCTCAAAAAAGATAGCAATTGAAAACACCATAACTTTGGCTTATAAATTTTCTCTGATGCTCCATCGGATTTGCTGCAGTACTAATTTTAATTTCATTTTGTAAGATGTTGAAGCAAAAAGAGGCCCAGTGAGGAGAAAGATTTCCTGGTTGAAGAATCTACGTATATGGTTCAACAAAACAACCACAAATATTTCCAGAGCAACAGTGTGCAAAGTACACATTGCTATGATGGTTACCAATACCAAAAAAATTGTTACCAAAATAAAGTAGATGACCAGGTTGTACAAACAATAATTACAATAATAATAACAGTTATGTTTTTTAAGTCTTATTTACCACCTTCTTGAGTAAAATTAAACTTGTGCATTCTTCTCATATTATCGAGATTATGTCGTAAACATCAAACATTAAACATATAGGTAGTTAAATATTCTTAATATGGAATAATAAATAATTAAAGCCTGTATAGTGTATGTATCAACAAAATGTATGATGATCTCTAAGAAGGAACAGCAATTTGAACGAATCAGTGATACTTATCAACAAATAGAAACAGTTAATACATACATACATACACCTACCATAGTAAGAACGTCAATGAAACTTAAAATCATTCCCTGCAAATCAAATATAGAATAGAGAAGCAAGAAAGCAAGCATTTCAAAAAATGGCTATTATAAGCTATTCAAATGTCATGATCTATAAGAAAGAACCCGTAGAAATAAGATTACTACGATGTTATATCTTTCCTATACTATTGTAAGAAGTTGAGTGGTGGACTCTTACAGACGCTACCTTCAAGAAAATTGAGGCTTGCGAAATTAGGCTTTATCGTCAAATCCTGAAGTTACTCTATACTGGCCACGTTACAAATCAGGACGTTTTATTAAGAATGCAAAAAGGAAAGAGCTGTTAACCACAAATAAAACAGCTAAAATCGAACTAATTATACAGGGAAAAAAGTAAAAGCAAAAAGAGGCCCAGGAAGGCGAAGGATTTCCTGGTTGAAGTATCTACGTACGTGGTTCAACAAAACAACCACAAATATTTCCAGAGCAACAGTGTGCAAAGTACACATTGCTATGATGGTCACCAATATCTGAAACGGATGACTATAGAAACAAACAAAAAATGAAGGCAACAACATGCGGTGTTCCCAAGCGGTCACCCATCCAAGTACTAACCGCACCCGACACTGCTTGACTTCGGTGATCGGACGAGAACCGGTATGTTCAGTGTGGTATGGCCGTTCCCGATTATACATGAAACAAATTGATATGCAAACAATGTTAAAAATCGTATGGGATGACACACGTACCGATTTTGCAGTGCGAGTTTTACTTTTAAATCAGAAACATGTCAAAAAATAATACAAGAAAAGTTGAAAACATTCTTATACCAATATATACAGTAACAATAATTACAATTATTTGCATGACACGAGCTTTTTTAGTAGATTGTTTTACATTGGGAAACAAAACTGTTCGATAATTAAAGTACATGATATGCAATATTTTATATCATTATTTACAATGTTTTTTTTGTAAATAAATTTTGTCGGATATTTAACATATCCTAATTTTATTAATCAATGATAGTAAGCTAGCAATTAGCACTTTGATAATAAATTAAAGTTACCTTCAAACGCACACGCTCTCTGTAAACAATCCTAATGAATCTATTAAGATTAACATATTTGTGTACTATTTTGGATAGCGTATGAATTGCACAGTGTATATACTGAGAAAAGTAAAGCCGAAATGATTACCATACGCCTGATAAGCGAAGAATTCGGGATTCAGATCAACACCGGAAAAAACAAAAATAATGAAGCTAGACAGAGCAAATAATATTCTACCGCACATACACCAAATGGCGAACATGGTAGATAGATTTATATACTTAGGCTAACCTACACAACCAACAATGTTGATAACCAACAATGGCGATTGCTCCTCAGCAATCGAGCGTAGACTAGCAATGGCCCCCCGCAACAGCTAAATTAATTAAAATATGGAAAGACCGAACAATAACATAGAATACTAAGCTCAGGTTGGTCAATACTCAGCATGGAAACATGGTCAAAAAAATCGGTAGGAGCAAATCGAAACCTTCGAAATGTGGGTCTATAGAAAAATTATAAGTATGTTCTTGATAGAAAATAAAACCAACCTGTCAATTCTGGAAAAGCTTTATATAAAAGACAAGCTAATAAAAAAAGTAAACCGAGCATACCTCGGTTTACTTTTATTTACTTTGGTCGTATAGCTAGAAGAACGGAGATCATGGAACTATTGGTAGTAGAAGGAAAGATAGAAGGCCGAAGACCAAGAGGAAGATCTCCCACACGATGGGCAGACTAAATAAGGACTCTGGTGGGAAACTCCCTACATAAAGTCGTCCATATCGCACATGATTGCAGCCAATAGAGGCAGAAAGCTAATAATATTTCGAGTGTCACCACGCCCCACGAGTGTCATTATTAAGTTGTCCTGTGATAAACTCCTCTCTTAGTTCTAATCTGTCTTTTTGCTCTGTTTTATAGATATTCTTATTCGTTGTTAGTCATTACTACAGAATAAATCATATGTTCAAGAAACTTTTAAAAACAATGAAAAATTCATCCGAGCTTGTTGCAGCAACAGTATGTGGTAGTGAAAAGGGACTTTAATATCTGGATGAAAGATATTAACAAGAAGGAGGTACCTGTTCAGTAAAATGCGTTACTGCAAAAAAGGTTAAGTTTATACCAATATATTTGAGAAAAGATCACTTTTTACTATGAGTGGGAGAAGTTGCAGCTTTGTTTCCGACTGAGGTTTATAAAATTATCTTATATGGGTAAGTTTTTTGTCTTGGGATAAAATGCTTAATACGACCAACATTCAGAAACAGGCTTTTTAATTACGGATTAACTCCAATTAGGTTTGACAGCATTAAACTAATTAGTTAGCATCTCCTCCTTCCTCGCGTTTTTAGTAAACAAATAATATTTCCCGATATATTTACTTTCAGTTTGTTTCTTTTTACCAATTTTGGCCTTAAAATCTCCAGGTGCAACTACGAAATAACGTTTTTATGTTGCTGTTTTTTTTTTAGATATTTGTAGACATCGCATAGAGCAGGGGGGGGAGGGGCAACCCGTCGATCGTGATCGACCAGCCGATCTCGGCCCCTAAGTCAGTCGATCGCGGGCAAGGAAAAAATATCGGAAAAATAACATAAATATTACGAAAATTATTGGAGTGCTAGCCAGAGCGACGTATGAAGTTTCCACTTTGTACATGATACTATAAATGTTATAGTATATGTACTATATAGTGACTATTGATTGGTAGCCGCTTTCTTTTCCTTTTTAGTCTGGTATTTTTATACCGCTAGCGTAAGAGCGAATCACATCCTGGTAAATCATGGTAAAAGAAAATTGTTGCTGCTTTATCTGCAATACATCAGTAGCAATACGGACAAAAAGAACTTTAGAGTGTCACTTCAACACAATGCATGGTAAATACCGATCAAAATTTCCACATCAGAAGAGTGAAGTGAAAAAGAATAAACTTCAAGCATTAAAATCTCTTTTGACTGCCCAGGAAAATATGTTCTGTAAGCCTAATGAACGGTCTAAGGCTGTAACTAAAGGTTCATTCTTAGTTTGTTATGAAATTGCGCAAAAGTGTAAGCCGTTTTCTGATAAAGAATATGTCAAAGAAATATTCGAAGATTTATCAGATTTCATCATCATTGGCTCCACAACCCATAGTGGATCTTGGCCTGCTCAAGGATAAGTCTCCATTCTCTCCTATTTTTCGCCTTGACTTTCCAGTTTCGTACTTCCAACATTCTCAAGTCTTCCTCCACCTGATCCTTAAATCGTGTGCTGGGTCTGCCTCTCCTTCTCACTCCATCTATTCTTTGATTATAAATATGTTTTGGCGGCTTCATCTCATTCATTCTCTTTATGTGACCTAACCACCGCAGCCGGTTTATTTTGATGGACTTAATAATTTTAGGTTTGTCATACAGGCGGTAAAGTTCTAAATTATAGCGTCTGCGCCATAATCCGC